GAGCGCAGGGCGCACCGCGCGACTCTCCGCCAGCGAAAGGCGAGGCTTGGGGCTTCGCCTTCTAAGGAAAGGCAACCCCCGGGGCGGAGCCGCGCGGGAGCCTCCCCGCTTAAGGAGGCCTGAGTGAGTTCCCGCTCAGGGCGGGCAGGAGCTGCCCCGCATGGCTCAGTGATTAGCACCTAGCTGGGGCTTCAGACCATTTCCCCCACTGAATGGGGAAAGAGTCCCCACCTGCGTTCACACCCGGCCACATTTTCTTATTGATTCCTAGAGTTCTTTATATATTCTGGATCACCCTGGACACATGGGTTTGTGTTAGAGATGGATCCGAGGATTTTCATTGTATTGAAGAGACTGCAAATAATTGTGCTATTCTGTGGTTGCTATTGATTATAACGAACAGGAGTTATTCTCAATGAAGTCCAATTTATCAGTCTTTTCTCATATGCTTCATGCCTTTCCATAATGATATTGTATGTTTTCTTTTTGAAGTGTAATAGTTTTAGCGTTCACATAGTGATGGGCCACATTAATTCTTGTGAGTGGTGTGGTAAGGGGTCAGAGCTCATGTATTTTCCATGTGTTTATCCAGTTAACCCAGCATCATTTATTGAAAGACCATTTCCCCCACTGAACTGGGAAAGAGTCCCCATAATAAACAGGTGATGTACATGTGAAGATCTGTTCTGGACTCTTCTATCCCACTATTTATTTCTCTATCCTTGAACCAACACAGCCCAGTTCAAAGAACAGGATTGACCAACTTGCTCCAATTCACACCTAAACAGCCAATAGAATACATGTCCTTTCCCTGTGCACATAGGATTTTAACCAAAATAAACCAAATCCTGGGCTATAAAGTTGTAACAAATTTCAAAGGATTGAAATCATACAATTGTGTTGTCTCAGCATTAATTTAAAACTCAATAATAATAAAACTACTAGAAAGCCTCCAAGTGCTTGGCAATTAAACATTACACTTGTAAATAATCAATGGGTCAAAGAGTAAATCACAAGGGAAGTTGCAAAATATTTTGAAGTGAATGGTAGTGAAAATATGGGATGCAGGTAAAGCAATGCTTAAAGGAAAATTTATAGCTTTAGAAGAATGACTAAAAATTAGTGCTCTAAGTTACAACTCAAGAAGCTAGAAAAAAAATGAACAAATCCAAGCCAAAGATGAACAAAATAAGATCAGAAATTAATAAAAGCAAAAATTAGAAAAAATATAACAAAGCCAAAAAATGTTATTTAAAAAGATTAATAGAAATGATAAGCCCCTGGAAATGGGTTAGAACTCCCCCCCCCCCCCACACCC